GTAAGTTGTCCTTGAAAGCCTTGTGCTTTTGAGGATCTCGATGATGAGGATTTAAGGGTCATTGAGAGAAGGAATCATCCCATGAGATTCCATGACCCACCTCTGAGAGATCCTCTTTGCGCGTTTGTCCTTGGTGATTGCGTGTTGGTTGAAGGTCGAAGTTGATTCTTTGATGGATCTGGAGTTTTGCTTGGGTTGAGCTCGAGTTTACCTCTGGATTGATGTCATTGAGATCACCTTTGAGGGCAGAAGTTTGGATCTTAGTTGATGTCTGATCCTTAGTCGCTCCAAGAAAACGAACAGAAGAAGAGAAGAAGACAGAAGAAGAAGGCAGGTAGCCCTAGGCGACCCAAGAAGGGGTGTGAAAAGTAGCGTACAGCGCACGTGTACAGCGTATGGCTCACCTAGTGCTTGCTTCTTTAGGGAATTTTCGTTTTTAGAGTGCTTGGGGTTGGAGCTGAGTGGAGGTCTGTGCCCTTTTTGTGTTTGACCTTTGACCACCTTAGCAGGAGGATGTTTGAAGTGGCAACTTGTGGCTAGGAACTGCTTAGAGAACCTTTTGGTAGAGCACGATGTCTTTGGAGACTGTTTGAGAAGCCTTGTGTAGTTTTGTGTAGCTTGGAGATGACTAGGTGTAGTCATGTACTCTTTCAAGAAGAGTGGATGAGTTTCAGAGAAGCTTAGAGGACTTTTGGAGACAGTCTATGAATGACTGTAACTTTGGCTCAAGGAGCGGGATCGAAAAGGACGCGTTGCTACTGTGTTTTCACAGCTTCGGAAAGGGCTCCTGGATGAGCCCCTTCTTGGGCCATCGAATGTTCAGTGGCCCTGCAGTGGTTGCAGGGCTGTTGTTTGGCATGGCAGGCCGAGGCCAAAATGTTTTGCCATGTGGTGCCATAGAGGGCCCACACTAAAACTAGGTCCAGAGAGTTTTCCATTGGCGCTCCAACAAGTGGGGTAAACACTGTCCCACCCTGCGATGCATCTGTTGGGTGGCCTGGCCATGGCAAGGAGTTGGTGTCGGTCGTCGGCGAGATCGTCCGCTAGAGTCTCGGCTGCGGAGAACTGGCTGATTGGACTAGGACGGCCCTTGCTCCCGATCGAGATTACAAGTCCAGCATCATACTCCAGGTGTGCCTCCGTGATGAGTAGCATGCCTACCTTACCCTTGTTCCTGTGATCTTCAGGCGCATGCCCAACTAGGTCAGTCCACTGAAACTGCCAGAGAGATCAGGTCGGGGGTCTCCAACAGGGTGACTGGCACACAGTCGTTGTCTACCAGGCCAAAATGTTGCCGGGAGTAGAGGAACCTGGCCGCTTCCAACACAAACACCCCCGCCCAACAGTACGGAACATCTCGCAACCCGCTCTGTTGGTCAGCTTTAACCCAAAGAATGTCAGTTTTCTCCCTTTGCGGTCCCACGAGTCGACGCCGCGAGGCCCACCATCTGGCAAATGCCGGCCAGTAGGGGACCTCCTCAGGGCTCCGATTGTCCACAATGAGGTAGATCATATCACTCCGGTCAATGAGGTCCTGATGTTGAAGAAGGCATCGAACAATCTCTGCATGGTTAGGGACGTGGCCAGACGGGTCCATGGTCTCATACCCTTCATCTTGGTCTACCGGCTGCGACCGAACATCCTCTACTCGGCACTGCCCTAGGGAATGATCCATACCCAGAAAGGTCTCTACCCGGTTGGGCGCGCACAGTGCCCGATATGCTTGGGCTTGGGCTTCATTGGGGGAGCTCCTACAGCCGTGAACGAACGTATGCGCTTTGGCTTGGGTGATCCATCCTGTACTGGATTGAATATAGGGCGTGGCCGGGGCACTCTCATCATCAAGGCAGTCCATTAGATCTAGCTCATGGTCTTGTATGTCATGCATGTCATCATCACTACGAGGCGCCCAAGGATCAAATGTCTCAGCAGCGTGCCATGACATGGTGACTGGACACTGGTGGACGGTGCTCGAAAGCAGGCGGGCCACCAACTTGGGTTGGTTGCCTACCGTTGCGTAGACTTGACAGTAGTCTGGACAGGCGACGGACAAGGATGTGCACAAAGGTTACTAACACGACTCGAGGTGCCCTCCACTCGGGTGGACTGCACGTCTGCTCGAAAGCATGCGCTGGTTCCAAGAGAAGTGACATGGCCTGCTAAATCAGCAGATTTTTTGGCTTCAAAATTTGCCTTCTACGCTTCCATTTTTCAACATTTGAAGCCAAAAAACTGGCCAGGCCGTTTTTGGCTTCAAAAATCCGGTGGGTCTCAGCGTGTTTGTGTCTACGGAGGCAGCAAATTAGCACAGTTTGATGCCCAAGGTTTGGTGTTGAATGATTTGCTGGCTTCAGACTGAACCCATCCGCCACAAAGCTGGAAAGTCACCTGGCTCAACCAAAGCTTTAGCTGGCCTGGACTTCGCGAAAAGGCACGTTTTCACGTTTTTTGAAATGAAAACATTTCTGGCCTTGAATTTTCATTGTTTTCCAATGATTGCAGTGTTGGTGTGGCAAGTGCGAAGGCGTGTGAAAGATTGTGCGTGTGCATGGAGACTTTTTGAGATAGTTCTCTGTTTTGAGGCTTGAGACACTGTCAAGATGAGAGACAACCAACAGCGGGCCGTCTGACCGCAATACATGCAAGCATCCCGTTACATCTAGGCGTCAAAGCTGGAAGCCTGCACACAGCAGGCGCAAAGTCGCAAGTTAGGCCAGACAACCAACAGCGGGCTGTCTGACCGCAATACATGCAAGCATCCCGTTTCTCACGGATCGAACCCGTGCCTATGTGCCATTGCCCATTCTTGGGACCGCAGAGCATTGGGTATTGTATCCCAATAAGGGGTTCGTACACCTTCTGCGCCACGCGGGCGCTGGTGGGGAGCATGACACCGCATTGATGCACTCCAGTCACCCCTGATCTAGCAGCTGCACTGCCAGCTTGTTGGAACTGAAAACCGTGCCTAGGCCTGGTGATGACATACCCCAAGCCTGCTATGAGGCCTTCGGGTGTCTAGTTGCCTGTCCTGGCTATTTCCAAGGCCATTTCCTCTCGTCCAATGCGCCTCAGCTTATTGGCAAGGCTGAGCCGCTCCAAGTGTGAGCAATGTGCAAAGAAAGTGGACCCCAAAATCTCACTAATATTTGTTCGTGAGAGGTCTACTAATTGCAATCGTTTGCAAAGCTCACAGGCAGCAGGTCCTATCCAATTGAAATCCGCTGCAGGTGTAGCGAGACGATTCCAGCCTCCAAGAAGCAGCACTCAGGCAAGCAACGTGTCAAGTTGGCAGGATCATACTCAGTTTTCTCAAAGCTAATTTGGCGCAATGCACTGCACTTCTCAAAGGCCCGTGGACGAAATTGCGCCTGAGGAGCTAGTTGATTAGCAACGTCGCCTTGAGTTCCCATCTGCACTGAGGAGCAGCATTCCTCGAACACACACATTCCAAAATGCTTGCACCTTGGGGCAAGGACGGTTCTGAGTACATAACTTCTTCGAAATACACCATCTTGTAGGCAGACTACTGTGCTCGGCAGTTGAACCACTTGAAGCAACTTGTTGGTCGAGCTTGGTTCTTTGTTGATTTGGAGTTTTGCTTGAGTTGCACTTGAGTTCACTTTGAGATTGACAGAAGACGGCGCATCAAAGAAGGTGTGAAAGATTGTTCGTGCTTGCACAGGGTGGCTCTTTCTTAGGTGGGTTCTCCTCCACCTCAACAGGGTGGCGCCTTGTCCAAGGCCACACGAGCTGCAATGCACTGACGACTGCGAAAAGTCCTGACTCTTTAGGAAGAGTTGACAAGCTTTGGAGAAGCTTTGAGGACCTTTGAGACAGTCTATGACTTTGGCTCAAGGAGCGGGATCGAAAAGAAACTTGACCGTGTCACAGGAAGAAGAGTTTTTTTGGATGATCTGCTGTGAAGGGCAGAGAAGCTCCGATTGCTTTCTGCGGCACTGACAATGCCACTTAGGCCGCACAGACAGCAGGAAATTTGGCAGCTTTGCTTGCCAGTGTGCGCAAAACGAACTTTTCACACGAGTGGAGAAGCAGAGCAAGGACAGAGAAAACCCAGCACACGGTTCAATCTGGTTGCACCCGAATGTTCTGCGTTCTGCAGGCAACAGGAAGATTCTGCTTTGTCCAGTGAAGTGGCAAGGACCATCCGACAGGTGGCTTGGCCCAGCGTCAGTGTTCAAGCAGTTTGACATGCCCTCATTGCTGGCGGCAGCGCCCGGTCACAACGTTTCTAGCAGCCACAAGCGGTTGCATTTTGTGTCCGAATTTTGAAGGACAAGGAAGGTCACGTGCGTAAAATTTGCAATCCGGCTACTTTAAGTTGTTGTCACCCAAATGGTTTGTCAGTTTCAGCGGTTTTCGTGCCGTGTGTTTGCTTGATGAATCACGAAGGTGGCCAATTGTTTTGGGCAGGTATTTCAGCAGGGTTCGTGTGTTTGTTTTTCAATTTTTTTTGCATTTGTGGGGGCTCTGTTGCTTTCACTGTTTTTTTCGTGGTGGCTTTGTGCGTGGGGTCTGGCAAATTGCCAACGAAGGTTTGAACAGTGACAAATCCATGTGCTTGTGTTGCGTTGTTTTGTATCTTGGTCACTTTCAATCTGTCTAAGTTACACAGCTTCACTTTTTGCTTTTGTGTGCTTGTCAAATTTTGATTGTGCATCATTTTTGAACACTTCCAGATGATCACCTTGCAGATTCTTTTGACCAAACAGGGCACCCAATTCAAATCATATTAATTGAACTGGCAAATATGCTGGATGGCAGATGCGTAATCTGGCAGTTTGGCTCTACTAGATTTTTTTTCTCATGAGTGTAATGGCAAGTTCACTTTTGATCTTTCACTTGTTTGATAGCAGATGTTGTGCAGGGACCCATTTACGTGTGTTTCTCGTCTACATCAGACATGTTGGTTATCATGGAGATCTTGACTACTGCAAATATGTTTGGATTTGCGTTGCCGTTGGGACAGTATTTTGGACAATCATTTAGCTATCAACCTTGCTTCATAACAGCTGCCACGCGTACATCACCGATGTGGGGTCAAGCAGAAGAGGACCTGCAGCGTGCATCGTTCCGTTTTGTTTCTGTTTTGTCCTGATGTGCCTACACAGGAGTTGCCCATTGATCGGCATCATGATTTTGCTTCCACCGTCTCGCTGGCTGGGAAGCGATTCAACGTGCCGCTGGCATCATTAGATATCTTTTTCAATATACACACCGTGGCTTGTGTGCAGAGATCCAAGAAAACTGCACATCACACGTCATCGTTTCCCCTTCAAATACACTATATAGTGGTGTTAAATTCTTCTCGTCCGAAGCATTTCTTCTCGGCGTCGAGACCCAGGTCGGGCGTCGAGACTTGGGCTGGTCGGGTACCATGCTGGGCTGCTCAGCGTGCAGCTTCGACCTGCTTGGCTGCGACCAAGCCGAGTCTTTCGTGGCTGCGGCAGTACAGTCGGGCTTTGCGGCAGTAGCACTGAGGTCAACGGAATTTCCGAGCACGTCCTGCATGTCCAAGGAGTGATGTTCTGGGTGCTTTGCTTGCATGTCTTTTGCATCCATGCTCTACTCTAAAGATGCTGCAATGGAAAGCAGGACGGGTATGCATAGCTCAGCTCTCTTCCATTCTAGTCAGCAGCCAGTTTATGTGGGGCAGGCTTGAAACAAGTGATTTGAGTCCAGCCTTGAATCTCTTCAGGACAGATCCGGATCGACGGTTCTGCCTGGTTTGGTGTGGAACTCAACGCCTGTTTGGTGTGTGACTGCTCCGATCGCAGCTTGGAATCTAGACTTTGAGTTGCTTAATTCTAGGAGGCTCCGTGACAGATGTGCGGTTGCAAAGCAAGACACCCTGAACGTTGGCTTTGGCAGCTCACTTCCTCTGGTCTTCGCTTCGAGGGCAAGCGAGGGACTGCTATGGCTTCAACCATCAGTGGCACACGTGAGCTGGGGTGTCCCAGGAAGCGGTTCGACCGGATCCTGGAAGGGAGGATAGAAGCATTTGTTGCGACACAAGGTGTGTGTGAACTGTCTTCAACTTGGGGTTTCCATAAGTGAAACTGGCACGGAAGTCAAGTCAAAACAAAAAACAAGCACTATGACCGGAATAGAATCTAGAATCTGTGGATAGCGAATTCCTGCGTTCCTTTGGCTACTCTCCAACTCTAGAGAGGCCTTTTTGGCCCCCCCTCGTCCCTCTCATCACCTCGCGGCTCACGGAGGCGTTTGGTCGCCAGGGGCACTCCAGAGCTGGGATTGGCCAGGTGGTGTTGAACTGCCCCAACAAACATCCGGAGGCGAGTGGCCACGTCTGATTTCCACCAAGGCTATTTCTTCTCGTCATTCACCACTCAAGTTCCTACAAAAGAATTCTGCCTGATGGGGATTTTCAAAAACCTGTCATCCCACCTGTAAAATCCAGTCGAGTGAGCCGATCCAACTGACTTGACCTCGGGACCCTTCATAAGCCCTTGACAGCTGGGCCAGTTGGTCGCTATAGTCCCTGGAATCCTAGTCCCACTTCATTCTTGGATCTGGGGCTTTTGGTACATGTAGAGTGGGACAAACCACGCGAGAACCTGGGGCAGGGGTCCTTGCCCGCCCCCCCCAGGCACCCGTCCACCCGCGCTGAGGTCGAAGTCTACTCGTCTTGGGTCAAAGAGGCGATTTCGCCTCGCTGGGCACCGCCCACCCGCTGGTGGGGCGGGCTCCTCGCTGTTCGCTGCCGCCCCTTCGAACGGTTCAAGGGGTTGACTTTTGGGGTGTTCTCCAAATCGATTTTTAGAAACAGTCGACCGTCGACCCACTTGGGTTTCAAGTTCCCCAAAATTGATTCCAATCATCGATCAAAGAGCATTTCATGCCTCAATTTCCACCCCTACAGTAGCAGCCTGCGCTTTTCAACAGTGTTGTCGGCAGGTCTCCCTTTGTCCGCAAGGCACCAAGTGCGGTCCTCAGACTGCGACCTGACTCCAGTTGAAAGCCCAGGCTCCACAGATGCTGGCTTGTCAAGTCAACACATGCTATGGGTGGTTTGAAGGTAGGTGCGCTCCTTCAAGTGTGTGGTTGGGGGACAGAGTTTACTATTCTCCTTCAATTCTCAGGATTTGATTTGCACTCTGCACCCAGCCATGTATGTGGAGAAAGCTGAGTTGGACCGATCACATGCCGAGCGATCACCTGAGGACTTCGATTTTTTAAACATATATCATATAACCATGAAGGCACCCCACCACCATTGTTTTACCAAGGATTTAAACTACAACAGGTCCACGAAGTTTTTGAACTGGCTTGAACTTCCAGGGTTACATATATATATATATATATAGACCGAACTTCGCAGTGCCACCGGTGAAATCGCCCGACTGCCGTTCGCCGTGCCAGCTTGGGGCGTGCGGATTCGGGAGAACACTCTACCACGCCAGGAGCCTGAAGGGGGTGTTGCGGTTTGGGATCTCTTTGTTCGTGTAGGTCTGGAGTTAATCTTTATAGATGTTTTTTGTGTTTGGAAGATCACTGATGGATTGGCGGTGACCCTGCAAACAAGTACTCTAAAGTTCACTGGGAGTGGTCGGACATGACCGTCAAACGTGGTGACATTTCGCTGGGTTTGAAGCCATTTGAAGAACGGCACTGGAGCCGAGTTGGGTCATGCAGGTTTAACATGTTCAACGAGTTCAAGCTGTAGCTTTAACCGTTGCGCGTCTGTTCACCCTGGCAGGACCCCATTCCGGTGCGCCTCAGTGGTCGACGGCATGGTGCTGCACCAGATGACAGGGTGTCGCTTCGCGACGAGCGACGAGCGACTCGCTCGAACGTCGCTCGCTCGGTCTCGTCGCTCTGCTCTGGGCTTGGCAGGTTTGGGGGTGAACGTCGCTCTGGGCTTGTGGGATCAACCGTACTTCTCAGCTCAAGAATCTCCAGCCTGAAAACCAGAGCGGTGGTCAGCCTTGTTTCTCACGGAGTCAAAGTGGATCTTGCGCAATTCTTACATCGGGAGGTTCTGAAGGGCATGTCCAACTGCCTCAGTGATAGAAACAGTGGTCTTACCTTCTGCACGGAGGCAAACTGGTTAGGACCAGACGCTTGGATTCACAGACTGCTTTTGTAGTAAGCAGAGTTGGATTCCTGGATCCTTTGGCTTTATGGTGCTTTATGTGGATCAATCGATCAGTCGTGGATAACTGGTATCGTCATGTCTAGAGAGTCATATATCACGGAACCACCTTTTCTTCGCATCCGGAAAAAGGACTTTGAGGGGCCCCAGAGTCCAGAAACTAGAGAATTATGATCGTTCTTTCTTGGATTAGCAGTTTGTCTGGCCAGGAAGAACCTTTTGAGTCTTAACCTTTTACAGTGCCAGCGGCACGGGAACTGCACGTGATCATTCTGATGTTTTGATAGTACGGTACACACCTTGGATATTGGACTGAAAAGAGCTGGACCATGGGAAAACATTGGATATATACACGTTGTTGGGGGGTTCACCTGTGAACGGCCATTCATTTCCGCCACACTGTTTGACCATTTGGGTCGCCAAACACTGCAAATTGGGGCCGCCGAATCTCCCAGAGGGGAGCCCGGGGAGCTTCAAAATGTATTGATCCTCTTTCTTTTAGCCTCCAACCTAATAGCGATGGCCTCCAACCTAATACCCTCTAATGGCAATGGCCTCCGTGTATGTATGTCTCTTCCTATCAGACATGGTGCTGGTGACAATGAATACAACCCCTCCAGTCATATCAGTACTTCCCACCCGTCCTTCGAGGCTCTCTTGAGCCCCATTTTCTGCTGACACACACGTCGACATGTCACACGTCCTTCGTGCGCCACGGCGACGTGCCACGTCTTCCGCGGCACGTCTTCGGCCGCAGATCCAAGTCTGGGTTCGTGTACCCAAGGGCAAACTGGCCTTCTGGGTGCGCCCACTGCCGGGGTTCGGTTCGACGGGTGACGGTTGGAACGTTGGCGACGACGTCGGGGCCCTTCCTGGGTTCGGGTAATGGGACATGCCCCGTAGAAGGTCGCATGATGTTTCAGAGAAAGCAGTGAGGGGTTAAGACTCCGTCTGTACTCTATAAGACTCCGGAGTCTTCGAAAGCAATTGGTGCAAGGTGGCATTGTGGTGGTTGTTTCGCTTTCTTTTTGCACAAAGGTTCTTTCTGACGTGGGTGGTGTCACAGCATTCTTTAAAGACCAACCAACAGTGTGTGAGACTACGGAGGCCGTTTGCTGATTGCAGGCTCAGTATAGGCCTGACCTTATGACAGAGCAGTCTCGGGAAAAGCCGCAAAGAAGCCGCTGAAGCCACTTGCTGGCAATGTCATACTCTCAAAAAAAGGAGCTACAGTCTTGCACAAGAACTCGTCCCTCCTTAAGCAGCATCTCACCAGGCTTTTCGCAGGTCTGGTTCTCTTGTTTTCGCCGGTGGCTTCAGTGATCGCCTTCGTGAGTGACGCCGTTCGCCTGACGGTGCAGGTTCCACCCAATCTTCCGCTTGGCCCAGCCTCTGCACAGGCGTGACGGATGGGATCGGTTCTCCACGGCTCCTTCGGGTTCGACCACCCTCCGGTCGAATTCGCGGCCGTTGTCCGAAGGGGGGCGATCCCGAGGGACCGCTACTGGGAAATGCCTGGGTTCAGTGTCTGGGCAGGATTTCCAACAGACATCTCCATGGACACTTTGCGGCGGGCACTGGAAAACACCTTCTTCGTGCCCTTCAGGTCAACTCGATAGACGATCTGACTGAGCCATTTACATGTGTTTGCTTCCCAGATGTGCTCCTCGATGTGTATGGGATCAGGTGATATAGCTTCGATCTTGTCCATCAGCTGAGTTTTTCACCAGAGCCCTGTGGCATTTAAGGCGTCGGGTTTATTCAGCGTTTCTTCGACAGCTCCGGTCGCCTTCATTCTTGAGGGGCGCAGAAGCGCCCTGAGAATCCGGGCCTGAACCAACGCATAGGCTTTGGTTCGGGTCCGTTTTCCTGCCTGAAACGGTGGGTGGAGTTTCGGTCCGACCCCTGCCACGGTCGAGCCGGGTACGGATTCTTAGGGGTGATACAATCCATACCCAAGCGCCATCCGGACCGAAAAGCGGTGTCTTCCTACATAGCGAAAAACACATGAAACCATTTGAAGAAAAACACACCTCGCGGAAGCTCGCTTCATGCATGTCAGAATCAAGGAAGCAACAGCCAAGTTTCGGTGAAGAAGACTAGCTCAGCTCTGTCGGAATATCGGGTGAGGCGGTGGGGGGTGAGTCTTTGGGCTTCCAGCTTTTCTGGCGAAGCCATCTTGAGGTTCTTGCGTGACCCGCAAACAGATAGAGAAGAAATCCCTTCAACATGTATTGGACATCGTTTCGATCTATTTGCGAACTCTATACTTCCCGGAAGATTCAGAACCTCCTTCCATCATTGGTGAAAGAAATCGAGGTTGAGATGGTCAGTGTCAAAATCGCCGTTTGGCCCAGCCGATTTTCCTTTGTTCAGCTGCACTTGGTGAGGTGGAGGAGTCCACGTGTGGTCGAGACACGCCTGCCGGGTGACTCAGTCATTGTGTGCATTAGCTACAGAGAGATCGGATTCATTCCGGATGTCCATGGCGGAAGTCACTTGAAGCGCGGGGAGAATCAGTGCACCAGAGCCAGGTTTTGGGGTATCTGATAATGGCCCCAATGAAGAGGATAAGGGGTGTCCATTAACCACCCCAAACCGGAGCTCTCAGGGCCCTGGTACTTCACAGACTTGGGAAACCGTTGCCGAAATTCGACCCGTTCACCACGAAAAGTCACTCAGTTGTTCGGTGGTGCATGGTGATGCCATGGTTACCAAGGATGGAATCTTCGAAAGTTCTGCATTGGTACAACAGACCCATCGGTTTTCCTGCACACTTCGCATCGGTTCTTCTCATCGATCAGCCACCAGAACGGTTTTCCGACCGAACGGTGGTGCAGTTGCGGCGCTTGCTGACGCAGCTGAATGCCGGGCACTCCCAGTGACGCCTCGTTCACGCAGCGAAACATGCGGGGTCAAGTGGGTCACGGAGGGTCAGGTGCGACATGGGTGTGGGTCAAAAACCAGGGGGGACCCTGGTCCCGAACTGAACCGATGCATGTCGACCTCCCCGGCTTGGTGAGAGAGAGTGAGTGAGTGAGTTCGGCGCCATGACGAAACCCCCGGCCACAGCGGTGCTTTCACCGCTGCGCGACCACCAGTTCCGTAGCGCCGAGGAAGAGAGTTTCGTCGACGAGAAGGATTGGGATTCGACCGCTCCGGCGAAACGGCGCCGTTCCCGCCGTCCTTCATAGCGTTCGGACGCTACGAACGGGGCTCCTGGGCCTTACTACTGAACGGAACCAGGTTCGCTACGAACGGGGGCTGCTGGCATCGCTACGAACCGGAGCGATCGGACGCTTCATTTGGGTTTGTTGCGGCCAAAACGTGGAAGGGCCCAGGGTCTTAAGGAGCAGAGACGCGTAGACTGTGAGATTCGGTTTCTGGGTTGGCAAAGCACCTGTGTGAATTGCTATGCATTGTCATTGACGGAGCTCTTTTCCACCTCTTGTCTTGGCTCTGTTTCTGCACTAGAGGACAAGCCCACGGTTTCAAAGGGTACCCGTAAGAATCAATGAAACAGCAACATTTAACATTTCCATTTTGGTCTTAGTTCGCATTGCTTCTTTTTGTGTCGGCGCAGGCGGTCTTTCAGCCTAGTTCAAACAGCACCTTTCTGATGTTCGGTGGGATCTTCGAAACCGATACCCGGCTCACAGGAGCTGCGAAGTGCGAACTTCGAGATGGCATCACAGGTGGGGTGAAGAAGGAGGCATGAAAAAGGCTCGAAGCCTAGTGTAGATTGGTGATGATGCAGGTAGGGTACGTTCTTTTTTCGATCCGGGAGACCCCCATGGGTTTTGGCGTTTTGGCTGGGTAGAGCTCTATTTATACATGCAAAACATGTAAAGTTCTTATTTGGTGATTTGTTGTATCGGAATGCCATACAGTTTTCCAAGCATACGTGCTAGAAACACATCAAACATGGTAAAACACGGGCCTCCACAACGTCCCATTGTCAATTGCAACCCTTGTTACTAGTGTCGTTCTTGTTCCCTTCGTAGCGATGGCCTGATGGCCTCGTTCGTAGCGGTGGCGTGCGGACCAGGAGCATGTGCAAAGCACTGCCAAGCTCTCGGGTCCTACAGTGTCACAGGCGGATAGACCGGTTGCGAAGACAGAGCGAAGCACGTCAGGGTGTCTGTACCTTGGTGTCACCAACAGCTGAGTCTTCTTGAACACCGGTTTTCCCGGTTCCTCCCAGAATGGTCACCAAAAGAAAGACGAAGGCGGCTTGCTCAGGCTTGCTCAAAAGTCCCAAACGGAGCTCTACAGCTCTATATACAGCTGAGTCTTGTTTTTTTTTTTTGTGTGGTCAGTGGTCCTTGGCCCATGTCTCAATAATTCTTTGCAAAGGTAGATGACTCACAAAGGCACCAGTTCAGTGCTACTGCTACCACGTGACGTGCCACCGCTCCACACTCCAGATGAGCCCGACACTGAGCTCAACGACGCTGAGTGACGTTGAGCCGCGGCCCGAGCCGCAGCCCGTTGAGCTTCGAAAGAAAGACTACTTTGTTGGGGAGTACGCGTGTCTATAGATGATTAGATGCCAGCATTTCACTTGCTTATATACAGGCGTATATGATATAATATACTATTCAATAAAGGGTTACTGTTTTGGTGGAGGGTTGAATGGAGCGACCGTCCCAAGAAAAACCCTTGCGGCAAAGGCCATGCCATGTTTGGAATGTTGATGATCTACATCCCCCATGACCCATGCCCAAATCAAACCAAGTCTTCCGCCATGACACGGACACCGGACTTCTGCCACATGGGCCCAAGAATGGACTGGAAACAAACTGCTTCGGAGTTTGAGACCATCACCCTTTCCACTTGAAGTACTTTCTTCCACTTCCTTTCCTGGCCCCAAAAGGATGTGGAAGGAGCAATGGGGGTAAGTAAGTGGCTGTGGATTGATGTAGGTTGATCATGGTCTTATATGGGTGTGAATTTCCACCTTCGGGGAGACCCCGGTCTTTGGATCGAAACTCCAGACCCGAAGGCACCGCCCCAGCACCGCCGCCACCGCCCGGCCGTTCTCCAGGAGTAGCTTCAAGAGCCTCATCCAAGCTGCGACAGGGGTCCCCATGTCGCAACAGAAGCTGTTCTTCGGGTGCGCCGCGAACTGCTCTGCCGCGCCGGCTGGGGGGGGGCGCAACGGGCGAGTCGTTCCACCCGAGAACTGTTCAACGCGCTGCTGGCAGTTCGTTCTCGGGGGCATCATACGGCCGCGTGTCGGTTTTTTTTTGCCAGTATACGTGGCCAATTCGGGGTCAGGGATCCAAAGACCTTTGTGGGACATTGTCTAGACATCTCAAAAAGCACATCACTGGAACAGGGAACAGCGAGAAGATCTGTGGTACCCTCAGCCATTAGAAGCATACCCGTCATGTACAAGCAAACAAACATCTGGTTTACAGTCCGAAACGATGCAACTGAAAAGACATGCTGTAGTTCTTAAGACGTTTTTGGATGTTTTTGGTACACTTTGAACAGTCTTTTGCTGAATTGGTCAGTTGAGCTGCACTGTCCGAAGCAAACGAACGCTTCGTGAAGGCCCCATGTTTACCAGGCGTAACTAGGCATCGGGGCATTGGTGCATCACTTGCTCGGCCACTCGAGAGGGTGGTTTCGAGCGTGAGGCTTCAATGCTTGAACCAAAACAAAAGAAAAAGACGATTCGCAAAGAGACATCAAGAGAGAAAGATTCGCAAAGAGGTCACCCACTCACGCATCCACTCACTCACTCACTCCCTCACCCACTCACTTGCAACCGGAACTCGCTCTTCCCAGCTCCGGTGCGGACGTATCGTCTTGAAGGCCCTCTGGGCTCTTGGAGGACAACAGCAAGGCCGGAGCGAGGTACTTCGAACGAAGAATTCACGCGGTGGGCTCTTGGCTTTGCCAGCGATGGCCAAAGCGAGGATTTCTCCTGATGGCCTCAAGCGTTGTTGGCGTTTTGAGGTCTTGATGTTTGTTCCATCTTCTGCAGGTTTCTGGAAGTTTCACCATCAGTTCCACGTGCCTCTCCGAGGCGCTCTTCCAATATGAGATTGGACAAGGAGCCATGGTTCATTTGTCCACTCGTCAGCGCCTTTGATAAGACTGGAGGGCACATTGCCAACATGTTTCTAAAAACGAGGAGAGCGACCATCTCTTTTTTTGTCACAACCCCGGGGTGTGGGGTGAGCCCACTGGCAAACCCTGGCACTGTTGATTCATTGATAGTCAGGTCTCGGAGCGCCATGCCGTCCTCCCCAAACGGCGATGCCGCGATCCAAGGTCGAGATCCAGAGCTGGTAGCCCAGTTCTATGAGGACCGGCCTGAGAACAGGGGAGGGAAGATACAAGTTTTGTCACTTTTGGCTTGGTTTCCGGGTTGTTTCATGGCAGATTTGTGGAATGAGTTTAGCATTTGGGGTGGGAGAAGTGGGGGTCTTGGGGCCACCTTGATGGACAAGAGAGCTCCCTATTTGCAGTAAAGGTGGTATGGTGGAGGTATTTAATTATGCATCTACTGGATGTAGGGCAGGCAATCCACTAGTTCACTAGTGGATGTGCTCATCCAAATTGGGGTATCCACATCTATATATAGTTGCTTCGCTGATTCCAGTCCACCATGTCCAGTCCAGTGTCGTCTTCGTCGTCGTGTCCTTGAAGTCCATCTGTGATCCAGGATGCCCGACGAAGCAAGAGGAAGGGCAAGAAGGCAGGACGGTCGTTCTCGCTGCTGAAGTAAGTAAGTCAGTCTTGAGAGCGTACTGTGACCACCAGTGGGTGTTCGGTGTATGAAACAGCGGGTACTGTGCACAAGCAGAGGCAAATGACCCAGAGGTTCACGCCTTTGCCAGTTTTACCAGTGTGGTGACAGGCCTGCTCCACCGGTATTCTTTCCTCTCCTTCATGCACAGTTATACTTTTGCCCTAGAAGTCCAAAGACTATATTTTGACCGGCTGAAGTAAAGGAAGTTCCCTTTCAGGTCCCCTAAAGACCATTCTTTTCATAGTCTTTGACTCCCAAGGTTTGGGCTTGGGGGAGGGCAAAGTTACGACGAAGAGACGCGTCCGCTGCTGCCAGACTTACCATGGCCTCGAGAACCCAAGACATCTCTTGGATAACAGTGCCTTGTCTGGGGTGTGTGGACTGGTTGATTGGTTGGTTGGTTGGTTGGTTGGTAGGAAAAAGCACATATACCCGAAGTAGTTTTTTGTTTAAGGCTGAACAAGATTAGAGCTGTTCTGCCTTCTTCTGAAGGCATGGCTGACCGATAGACGGCAGTTTGAAGTCTCTTTGTAGGTCACTGGTGCATGTAGCAAAGACTCACCCAGTCAGCTGTGTTTCGAGATGCACCAACCAGTCTCAGAGAGGCCCCGGGACCCGGTCTGACCAGGTGATCCGAAGTTAGGAACTTCCGGGCGACTTGGGTGGTGACGCTCGTCCAGTCGACCTGGACTTCTAGGGAAGGGTGCTCAGTCAGTCGGACGCACGACGAACAAGATATGATGAATGGTCAACCACTGATGGCGGCATCGGTAGCAGAGTTGATTGGCAGGATTCCTCCTTAGCAGAGTTACGTGCACGGGACTTTTGCGTGGGCTTCAATGACTTTAAACACACGGTTGGTGTGATTTGGTCGGATTCGGCTAGCTGCGCCTGCACAGTGCTTGGCTGATGGGTTGGTTGTTTCGATTGTGTGGCCTGTTGCCTCAATCCTGGCTGGTTGTTTGGTGAGAGCCCATCACCTCCTCACAGTTATATATGGGTTTGCGTGGTTGGGGGTTCGGCTTGTGGTTGCTGGTTTGGCAAGCGCCCAGCTTGCGTGGCTTGGACCCCCAGAGAGGTGAACTCCCGTGTTCCCTGGGCTCAAAGAGGACGGACGGCTCAAAGGGATCGGAGATGGCGACCTTTCGCTTCATCCATGCTGAAAGCGGATGGCCATTACACATTGATGGACTCGGTGACAAGCTGGCCTCACTCCGCTATGGCGACTGCCGTGATGATTTCTCTGCCTTCTGGATCGAGCCCGCGGGGGAAGGAAGAGTCTACCTTCGGAACCTGGCAACAGAGCTGCCCTTACATATCAACGGCCTTGGGGACCAGCTGGCGTCCGTGCGCTGCGGGGACTGCATGGATGACTACTCCCAATTCTACTTGTGCACGGCGCCCTTTCCTTCACAGTCCACGCCGGACGGTCTCCTGCTGCTGAGCGTGGCGATGGGCCGGGCCCTGCGGATCGGCGCGGATCGGATGGCGTCGACGATGGAGGAGGGCACGGATCAGGCGGGTCGGAGAGAACGGGGCAGAAGAGCAGATAGGTGGGGTACACCTTGAGTCACTAACTGTAGAAGTTGAACACCCACTGACTTACAGCAGGAAAGTAGTCGTTGCATGGCCAGAGCTCTGCTTCGATCGTTCTTCGGGTGACATGTGAAAGCAAACACAGCACGTGTCAAAAATACATACCTGGAGAGTCAAAGACTATAAAAAGAATGGTCTTTAGGGGACCTGAAAAGGAACTTCCTTTACTTCATCCGGTCAAAATATGGTCTTTGGACTTCTAGGGCATAAATACGTTGCTCTCCAAGACCCCCCCAGCCGATGTTCTGTTTGCTCTTCGGCCGGTTGTTTTTTTCGGAGCGACCGGAAGCTGAAGGAGAGCATCTTCAGATTAGAAGCTCATGCCATTGGTCTTCGCACCTGCCGACTGTTGGGCCCACAGCAGATGCCATTGCACGTGGACGGGCTGGGAGATCAGATGGCCTCTCAGCGCTTTGGGCACCTGCAGGATGAATATTGTAAGTTCAATCTGGAGCTGAGCCCGGAAGGACTGACGATGCATTTTTATAGTTCCTCTTGCAGTGTCTCGGTTCGAAGGCCAGAGGCCAGTTCATGTCTGTGAATTTGGCTTTTGCTTTGGAGCCAAATCCTTGGAGGCTTCGATTTTCTTTGAAGGAGGCTTCTTCCTCATCAACCTGGGTTCGGGCTTGCCACTGCGCGTGGACTCCGATGGGCAGGTCTCTGTTTCCGCCGACGCCCGGGATGCCTTCGCGCGCTTCGCACTGGATGCGGCGACTTTGCCCGGAAGCTTCTACGTCAAAAGCGTTGGAGCTGGTAAGGCCGCTGGTGCTGGGCAAGAAGCGGTGAGAGGTAGTAGTACAATGATTTCAGTAGATGGCCCAGTAGATGGAACAAAAAACCCAGGACTTGAAGCCTTTGCAAGTGTTAGGACACTTGTAGACAACCTTGTAGACGTTGGAGAATAGACGATGCCTTCTACACTGAAATTGATACAGAAACCAACTCTGTGAGCGTGCGGGTTGCCAGTGTTTCTTGTATAATATTATGTGTTCTTGTCATCTATGTCATGTCTTCAAGTGTTTCCCCCTTGCTATCTCGCTTTCACAATGCCAAAGGCTTTTTGGTGCTCAGCACAGACTCCCATCTCTTTGGAGAACTAAAGCTGCTTATCAACATTACCAGAGATCACATTACATAGATGTGGAGAAACTCGAGCGCTCATCTGTGCGACGGGTAGGATTGATTCGGGCTCCAATTGGGGGCTGATAGATAGAGAAGCTTTCGGCTTCTCCACAGAAGATCACAGCGCTCGGCTCGCTTTCGGACCACGGTGAGGCCGTTTGCATTCATGAGAAAATGGCGATCTTGGAAGATGATCACACTCCTGCCACTGCCTTCTGGCTTCCAATCTGTCGAGAAGTCTCGGAAGCGAAGAGCAAAGGCGACATTCCAAGCGGCTACGAGATGGTAGGCGCGCAGAAAAACACGCGGGGCAGGTCCCGCGTCAAGACTCCACCAATCGACGTGCCATTTCTTTGGGGGTGTTGAAGCTTTGTGGATCTCCATCCGTCATCCGTTCTTCAAACCCGGTTTTGGGGAAGCTGTGGAAAGAAAGCCCTGAAGGTACCCGACCCTTAGGAAGGGGTGGCTTCGGGGTAGTGCACTGCTGTCGTAGCTTGCTGGATGGTCGCCTTTGCGCTGTGAAGACAACGTACCAGAAGTTGCTGGGGTGGAAGTGATCAATTTCTTTGAGCCAATCCCTTTCCCATGTCGTGGAGCACACTTTTTAGCTATTTGGGAACCACTGTATACTGGTAGAAGATCTTCTTCTTCTTCTCTTTCTTCTTCTTCTTCTTCTTCTTGAGGTTCGAAGAGAATGAGGCATTTCTTCGAACGGAGCTGGTGAACTTGGCCCATTTGCCATCTCATCCCAATTTGCTTCGATACTACACCTGCTTCTTGGAGAAGGGTCGCCTTCACATCGTCACGGAGTTTCTCGATGCGGTGAAGCTCTACCATCTCATCAAAGGATCCAAGGCAAAGCCACGTGAACATGGGAGAACCTCAGCACTCGCAGCATGCATCAGTTGCACCATGTTGCACCCTCATCGTCCGTTTTGTGCGTCCTGTCCGTTTTGTCCGGACCCCCACCACCAGATCCAGGTGGGTGAATATCCGAGCCCCAAGGTCAACCAGGGTATTGACGCTATTGACGGTCTTGACCTGTATGCAAGGCATGAAAACAGAGGTCCGGTCTTTCTTAAATCAACAGATAGAGACTGTGTCAGTCTAGAAGGCACCTTTCAGGGTGTTTGTTCACCAACCCTGTAGGCGTCACCCAGCCCTGCGGAGAGCGTCTCTTGCTGGTTTTTGCAGCTATTCAAGGCTGGTGGGGAGAGGATGGTGTATTGATGATGCTGGAAAGCACTTCTCGTCGCCAGGGATTCAGTTCTGGGTGTGTAGTGAAAAAATAGGGAGACCTCTCAGGCAACGAATTCTGAAGGAACATAGACCGCTGATCTCCTTAAGATACGCGCCCAACATGCTTAGCTTGCCAGGGATTGTCGTGTTTGCACTCCATCGGAATGATCCATCGCGACCTGCACGCTGAGAATGTTCTGATTTCGCGCGACGAAAGACGCGAAGTTTCCACATGCCCAAGTGCAGTGAAGATCATTGACGTAGGCGCGCGCGGGTGTGGGAGATTTGGGGATCCGGAGTCTTGTTGTGACCACCGACCGAATTGGGTACCTCCTATATCAAATGTCGACCTGTCACACCAGGACTGTCCAAGATCTCAGAGCTGCTTGAGCCCTCGGTGATGTCAGTGAAGGGTGTAGGTGCGGGGGGTCTGCCGAGGACAACGGCGGGGGAGTTGTTGAAGTCCAGATGTGAACACTCTTTACTGGGGCCTCTGATTTTTGAATTCGTTTCAAGCTCCAAACTTCAACAATCCGCGCTTGTTTCCAGCGCCCGATGGTTGACTTGTGAGACGTTGGGGGGGTTCTGTGCGGATCGAGCAACCCTGATAGGTCCTGCTTGGTACTTTTCGCCAGAGCGCCGGGCTGGAGAGGCCTTTGATCATTTGGATGATGTTTGGGCTGCAGGATGCATGTTGGCCGTGCCGTGGACTGGAATAGATCTTTTCCCTCAACATGTTTGGCTCGTTCCTAGACTCGCCCGGTGAGTGTCCCACAAGAAAACAAGACAAGACTGGAGACAAAGAAAGAATGAAGGGAGACAAGGCGGACACAGTGACCAACAGACCAACAAGAAGGGGGACACAGTGACAAACAAGAAGGGGGACACAGTGACCAACAAGAAGGGGGACACAGTGACCAACAAGAAGGGAGACACAGTGACCAACAAGAAGGG